ACAGCTTCTTCTAGTGCGCTTGTTCTCTGGTGGTGTGTTGGATGCTAGACCCAAAGCACCTTTGAGGTTTTTAAAGTATTTCACAGGTGAGATGGATTTCTTCCTACCTCCAGCTAGATCCTGAAACATAAGGGTTGCTTTTAGGTTCATTGTCTGATACTGCTCAAGCTGTCAGAGAAATGAAGGCAGTGTGAATTAAGATGCTATCAAAGGTGAGCAAATGGCAAAGGGTAATGCTGATGTCTCACACTGGATCTGGCAGGACATCTGTCTTTAGGTGGTAATGGGACTGAGGGTGGTGATAGTGACGAGGTCTGGAATTGGGCTAGTGGTGAGAGTAGGGTTGGGAATTGGCACAGCAGCCGGTACAGATACAGAATTACACAGAATTAGCTGTTGAATTCAGATTCTGTGGATTGAAGTCTAAGCAGGGCTTAGAGCATCAGAGCTCTCAGTGAGCAGAGCCCAAAAACCACTGGGATAGGAACTTCCCTGTGGCCCTCCAATGAAGCCTCCGAGGGGGAGGCTGGAGGTAGGCTTTTCATTCTCCCATATTGAGCCAGTATCCCTGTGAAGTTCCCTTTGATGGTGGCTAGGGCATTGTTCAGCCTCCTGTCCAAAGTATTGTCTTCCTCTTAATTAGGAAAGCTGCCTTCAAGAGAGCTTTTTGTCATGAACTGCAGTATTACCTCACTTCCATTTCTCTTGGTGTCTTGAGCTTGGTGGTTGGGTTTGGGGAGCCTGCAAGCACCTTCCTATTGTGCAAGACTATTTAGAAGGCATGATTGCAGCAGGAGGAGGTATCCGTGTCAGCACACAGCAGAACTACTCCCAAAAAACTGTGACCAGATCTTGTTCTGCCTCAGTTTCTTTACCTGACCTGAATATGGCCTGGCTTTGCTGTGCACTGCTGGAGTAGTAGTCTGTTTACAGTTAGCCTGGTTGAATGCACAGTGACCTATTTGTGTACTTTCTGTATTTTGAAATATCATCCAGAACTACCTCTTAATGCTGAGCTGTATTTTACCCGTGCAGCTTAATAATTTTCTATTAATACTTATCTTAGGTCTGATCCATGTAAAAGTGCAGTGTCAAGTAAGGTTCTCATGATATTTTTAAGCAATCTAACCTTTGGTCCTGGCTAAATTCCAATTGGAATAATTACTGTCTGACTACCTACATTCCTCTTGTATTTTCAATTGGAGAAGTTAGCTTTCACTTCCCATTTTGAAAGTGATTGTGTAACATTGCTCTGCAGCAACTACACGCTGCATTCCCCTACAGTGCTGGATATATTTTATTGGTAAGTAAAATAAGATTATAGAGGTGTAATGATTTTACTGGCATGTTTATACCTAAATATAGATATGTCTGTAAAACCACTTTATCTAATGGCCCTACCATATATTATTTTCTAGGGAGTCAGAGACAATATAATAGTGTGCAGTAATGTGTAAAGGATTTTACGTACCAGTCAGGAGTTTGGGATTTACTAAATTGTTTTGGAGTGCCATAATCACAGAAAATACTTCAAAAACTGCGCTGCCCCACACCACCTCTAAAGGAAAATCTGCTCATGTAAAATACTTGGTAATAAAATATACTTGCATATTTTTATAAACATTCTTGACTGGTGAAATTATACTGTAAAATTATTAAAATTTCTTGAAATGACAAAGGGTAAATGCCTTGTTTTACAGCTGTAGCCTTGTCAGGTGCTTATGAATTTCTTTGTGTGTGAATTTCTCCATCCCCCTTTTTACTGGAAACAGGAACACACTTAGAAGGAGGTCTGTATGCTGCCTTCAGTGCTTTCTTAATTGAGTACCTTGAATGTTTGCACTTGAACACTGTGGAAATCATGGACAAAACTTGTTGCTCTGTATGCAGAAACACATTTTCACAGTAGTTCTGGGGTCCCCTTGATCTGATAGTAAGTGTGTGGTGGTTCACGCCTGCCTTGTCTCTACTAGCACACATTCAAAAGAGACCTGCAGTGAGCCAGACCAGAGGAGGAGCATGAGGTGAGGTTGGTGTTGGGATGTCCTTTCTGTCCCTTTCTCTAACAGCCAGTACATGCATGTGGGCAGCTGTGTGAAGAGTGGCTACTGATGTGAACACAAGTCAGCCCCAAGGAGGGAAGGGATTGTAACACCATAAGCATCCCTGATTTAGTCTTTGAGCAGCTCACCCCTATGCTGCCTTGTGGGAGCTGAATGGTGAAAACCACACTCAGCCTGGGTTGGGTGTGATTTATTGATGTTCTCCTGCCTTATCACATCCCCAGCTCCCATCTTATGAGGGAGCCCAGCCTGGATCTGGTACCTGCTATTCCCTTAGAAGAACTCTGCTGTCTGTCACACAGACTGCGCACGGAGCACCTGACAGACCTCGTGAGCATGACAGATGTGTTATGTGTGAGTGAGAGATGGAGAGAGAGATTTCTTGGCTGGTACAACACAGGGTACCCCAGCATTGCTCTGCCTGATGCAGAGAGGACTTGTGGCTGAGGATCCAAATTGGAGATGGCAGGTTGGCTACCGAGCCACAGACAACCTCCTCTTGGAATGACCTTCTTCCTAGCCCTGGCTGCTCCCTGCATATCTGGCCAAAGCCTGAGGATCTGGCACTGTGCAGATAACTCCATCTTGTATTGAATGGAAAAATCTGCCTGAGTGGGGCACAGACACCCAACAGATTGGCACCCATGTGCTCTTCAGGATCTAGGCTCTCTTCTCCTGCTTGGAGGTAGATGCTAGATATTTATTGGCTTTAATGCAGGTGAAGAGTAGGGAATAGGTTTCTTGGCTGCCATTTTTCCCACTGGGAGAAGCATGTGCTTGGGCATGAAGGCTGACAGCTGCCATGATTGCCTGTGTAGCTCCTGCTTGAATGCTATCTGAGCCCTGGGTTGGAAGGCCCAAGGGCTCAAATACATTATTCCTGGTGGGAAAGGGGCTGGGAAAAACCTACACTCTCCTCCCTGGGCATCACAACTAGCCATTGCCTAACCAACCATAATACGCTGTATGAGTCGGTGCAGAGGGACTGCAGGAGACATATTTTAAGAGAACAAATATAGCATTTAAGTGAGTGAGCAAGAGAATGAGAGACAGAGAGCGTATAGAGTGCATTAAAGTTAATAAAGCATTGCAGAAATGGGGACTGCATTTCACTGTGAAGGAATCTAATTTAGTGACTCGTAATTGGAGGATAACAGTCATACTGGAATGAAGTTAACTGTTCATTTTGCCAAACTCTCAAAGTCTCTTGGTTCTCCTTGTAAGCATCTCTCAGAAAGTGAATCCTTCAGAGAGCTCAGAATCGATTGGTGCTTCACACCCGCAGTCCCTTTCAGCTTCTTAAGTGGATTTGGTTTCTCCGGTGCATATTTATTATCTATTTTATTATCTGCTTATTTATCTGGTAATCTCAATGCAGGATGCATCCTCTCTGCTTAGCATAAGAATGAGGGAGCAGGTGTTGAGCCTGTGTGTTCTTCTGGGCAGGGCAAGATGGGGCCTCTTGGGGCTTTTCCCATGGGCTGGTGTCAGCTAGGGTTGTTTTTGGACTTCCTGCTTCCACAAAGTTTTGCCAGCATTGTCCCTGATGCTGTGGCTTTCTGTTAGTTTGACAGAGGCATGTGTAGCAATGAACAGTAGGGTCCCATTCCTGGGCACGCAAGACCAGAGGTGTAGCACAAAGAAGTGCGGGGCTGGTGTATTTATTTCAAGTGTGCCTGGTTGCTGAAGAACAGAATTCTGGGCATGAGTAGCTAAGCAGGACCTGTTGTTTGAGGGAAAATCTTCTTTAGTTTGAAATGCCTGAAATCTCCTTGGGACATCAGTGTGACTCTTGGTGGGCACACCAAGCAGTGCTAGCTCCAGCAGGTGTGGTGGGCAGATGGGGGGATGCTGTTCTGTTGTCTCTGATATTTACACTGCATGGGTGCTGTAAGAATTAGTTCATTAGTGTGTGTAGAGTGCCTTGAGGACAAAAAGCGCTGTGGAAATGTGAACTATTATTAAAGCGGGACTGGAAAAAGAAAGAGTGATGAACAGTCCCACAGGGAACTGTCCCACTCAGGCAGGGGCTGGAGAGATGACCTCATCAGGTTTTTTTCATCTCTACTGTTGTGATTACCAAATAAAGTGGACATGCTCAGGGAGAAGATTTATGTGCCATGCCTGGCTGTAGTAGCTGAGGGTGAACCACTGTAAGCTCTGTTGGCATTTCTACTTCTGTGCAAACACAGCTGTCATGTGGACTTGGAGGATCCTGATCCAGTTTTGGCCATGGCAGCTGGGAAATTTTGTATTCCTGTTTTTCTTCTTTTTAAAAAAGAATCCTGTATTGGTGGAAAGCATATAGTTGACTGTACTACACACTGGAGCTGTGTGTGTCCTGATGGTGTATGCAATGGATACACACATACGTATACACAGTGACCTTGCCCATTTGTGCTCACTTTATTCTGGAGGGACTGTGCTGAGAAAGGAAAAGGGAGTTCCTATCTGCCTGGTCTCCTCAGTCTCCCTGCCTGTACCTCCAGCACAAGTCCAAACTGATCGCAAGCACCAGTCATTCCTTTGTGTTGAGGGTGAGCACTCTGACATGGGCTTGACATAAGCAATTAATTTCACAAAGACAGCTGATCAGCTGTCAAAGGACAATTCTCTATCACTTTTGACTTGGGTCTCAAAGTGACACAGGACCTGAGAGATGACATGATCCCATCTTCTGCTGACAGCTGTTCTCTTAAGTGATGCCAGACTCTGAAGTAGGGGCTGGACTGGTCTGATCCCCCAACTTTAACAGAGCATGAATGTAGCCAAAGGGCTCAGCATCAGACTGGAAGGATTTTTGGGAGGAGAGCTTGTGGCTGAGCATGATCAATGGATCTACCTTGAAGGCTGAGTGCGAGATTGACTTGTCAATTAATCACTTTGTTTTACTTTCCCCCTTTTTTCTTTCTCACTCAGGGAGTGTAAGAGCCGAAGATGAGGCCCAGGGTGGAGTGCTACTCTCCAAGGTTTTGGCTGGTGCTGGCAGTCCTCGCAACAACAGGGAGCGGGGCCCATGCCCAGAAAAGCCACCCGAGCATTGGCATCGCGGTCATCCTGGTGGGGACCTCGGACGAAGTGGCCATCAAAGATGCCCACGAGAAAGATGACTTCCACCACCTCTCAGTGGTGCCTCGGGTGGAGCTGGTGGCCATGAACGAGACAGATCCCAAGAGCATCATCACCCGCATCTGTGACCTCATGTCTGACCGGAAGATCCAAGGGGTGGTATTCGCTGATGACACAGACCAGGAAGCCATTGCCCAGATCCTGGACTTCATCTCTGCCCAGACCCTCACTCCCATCCTGGGCATCCATGGAGGCTCCTCTATGATCATGGCAGATAAGGTAAATTTAAATGAGCTTCCTTCTATTGCAGACCTGTGGATCCAAACTTAAAACAAAGAGAAGTATCTTATTCTGTGATCCTCAGGTGGTGTCTCATGGGGCCGAAGGCTTGGGGGATTAGGCAGCTTCAGATTCAAAGACAGATTAAAAGAGCTAACTGTGTGTAGCACTACTGAGAAGAGCCTATTAATCATGTGGAATTATCTGCAACAGAGAAAAACTGAGGAGGGAAAGAAGCAGGTAGAAGAGACCCACAAAAGAATCAGCCCTATTCTTCTTCCTTAAGAAGGGTAAAGAGCCCCTGACAATTGTAATTTTTAAAAGGTTTTATTTTTGCTTGTGTTTTACTTTAGAAGAGCCAGGGATCATAGCCTGGGTTTTTTTCCTGCATGTAGCTGGAGGACATTGTGGTATTTTCAGGGATGCTTAATACAGCTCTTACATCTTAATTGGAATATAATTGAATCTTTAATAAAGCTATCCTCTCTATAAAGTGTTCATTAGCTCCTGAAGTTAAATAGGTGTTAGCTGAAGTGACTAACCAGTCTAAACCAGTCCAGCTAAATCTTTCTTTTTTCTACTGCACTACTTTATTCCTTCATGTCACAGACATTTCATTGTTTTCCCAGGCCCTAGCCAGTCTCTAAAGAATTACTACACAAACAAGCCATCCTGCTACTGCTTTTGGACAGGGCAGGATGCAGAGAGGGAGTAGCATCTTTGGCCAGCTAATAACTCTCAGTGAAGCATCCTTGGGGTGCATATGGACCTGATACAAACAGGACATGCAGCAATTCACACCTGAATGTGCATTTGGCCAGACAGTGTGGCTAACAGCAGCCTTGGGGCTACTGCTGCCCAGTGGGAACACGTGAGAGAAGCTGGCTGTCCCTATTCCTGCAGGCTTGAAGCCAGACAGTCAAGGCCAAGGCTTTTATTGAGAAGACTCTCTTGACCATTCTTTGTGCATCCCAAAGAAGTAAACAGGGACACAAGCTCACAGTCTTTTTCTTTTACAGACAGCTCTTAAGTGAGTCTGAGACATTTAACTAGGCAGAATCAGGCCTAATGGAATGAAGGGTGAGAATTGACCTGGCCACTATGGCAGCTTCTCCTCAGAAAGAGATCTAGTGAGATGAGAAATCCAGGCACATTCTCTTTTATTTACCTTGCAAGTAAATAATCCAGTGCAGGCTTTTGAAGGTGCTAACAAATTATTTTCTCACTTTTTGACCAACCGTTCAGTTGCCAAATAACTCACAGTTAGTGTGCAGTGTTATTTTCTCCTATTGGCCTTTAAACTGAAATAGTCACTGAATAATCACGGGCCTTTTTTCTCTCACTCCTTGAATAGTTGCACATATGCTGAAGTCCCACTGCCCCATTCCACCCACAGTGAAGCTTTTCTGCTTTGGAGGCCAGGCAAGCAGCAATGCTGCATCCTGATGCTCTCCTGTCTGCAGTGTTGCATGGTTATCTATGTCTGTGCAAAGGAGGGTTGGAAGCAGTGCTCAAGTGCTGCATTTCACACTTGGGGTGACATCTTACATCTTTGAACAAGTGTGAGAGTTACTGACAGAAGACCTCCTAAGCACTGGGAAAAGTCCTTGTGACTTTGAACATGGCAGGCCAAATTCTGATTTCAGATTCCTGCAGTGCAAATCCAGCACGGCCCCACTGCCTTTGGCAGGATTAGATCAGATTTACGCTGCTGCAATTCAAAGACAAATTTGGCCTGTTGAACTTTGAAAAGATTTTTCTTTCTACCTGTCCCTAGCCTCTCCTTGGGAAGGCAGCATCTCCTGCCACTGCCCTGTGTATCCCACTGGCTCGCTTCTAAAGAGAGTTCTGGCAGGCAGGCAGGCAGCCCACAGGGAGCTCAAAGGTGGAAGCCTTATGAATGGAGACTTCTGTTTTACCAGTCTTTTTCTTTTTTTTTCTTTTTTTGGTAGTTTTGCAGACAGGAGGTTTGCAGGTTATGTACAAAGATCTGCAGTTTTAGGAAAGGCCAAGGTTTCTTTGAAAAATAATTTGAAAAGGCTGACCTTTACAACTTCTGATCCACAGGTGTGTAATCTTTAATGGATAATATTTATTTGAGGAATTGAATTAAAATATGGTAGAGTGTAAATACACTGAAATTCTACTAAAAATACTGAAGTCAGCCTGGTAAGTCCTTCAGCAATTTATTTTTGATATAGGGCCTTGACAGAGGCTTTGCTTTTAATGACTCTTAGTCATATTCTTTGCAGATGAGTTGTGTGGCTGAGGTTTGATCCTGCAAGCATGGAATGCTTCTTTCAGCATCCCCTCAACGCCCACAGCAGTCAGCTGTGATTGAACTTGCTCAGCATTTCACAGGTTCAGATCTGCACTTACAGCTTTGTTAAGCTCCCCGTGTGTTTGTGATCAGTAGTGCCAATGCAAACCTAAGGAATGCTAGAAACCATGAATGTCTTGGTGTGACAGATAAGCCCCTCTTTGCTGGAGTTTAATGCAAAAAAAAAACCCCAACTCCCCAGTCAAACCACCTTTCCTGGAGCAGCATATGCAATTCTGTTTCACCTTCAGTGAGGGTTTAGTAAGTGTTCTGTTAGGAAATGTGGGTCATGTGTAAAAAGGGCTTTGTAATGTATCATGCAGCTGGTAAATTGAGGCACAAAAGGGCAGGCATAAAGAAAAAGAAATTAGGATTTCAAGCCTGAATTTTCTTTTGTCCTGTATATGAAGACAGAAATATTGTATAATGTGCCCTATAAGCTGGCTTTATCTCAGTTAATATTAATCTAGAAGTTTGCTACCCACCAGCTGGAGGTCTAGGCATCAGTGGTAATGGAGACACCAGCTGAGGACCATTCACCCCACCCAATTCAGGGTGCAGTGAAATGCTCATGGGATAGTCCTGTGTCTCCCCACTGATTACTGAAGAAGGCTGTACCTCAATGTGTTCATGATGTCTCAAGCTAAATGCCATGAACCCTGCCCTAGGTGTGACATAGCAAGTGGAGGTATGTTGATAAAAGTGTAACATCCTTTTTTCCTGATTTTTTCAAACTCACATTCTTTAATTTGTATTTTATTAGATTTTGCAAATGTTTATATAATTTGTTTTCCCTGTATTTTGCCTTTTTCCTCTGAAAAATAAGTATACGGGAATTTACATGTTTTTGCTGTTTTTGCTCTTTGGTGCTCGTGTCTCTAATTCCACCTGCTTACCTGTTACAGAGTGTTACATTTAATTTCTGACTAATCTGGCACAAGAAGAATGTGCCCAGATGATCTGTGTGCACACTGTGATCTGGGTTTAGTTCCAGGAAAACGGTGAAGCAGAGACACACGATGTGCCTCACTCGAGCTCTGGAGAGGCCGCTTTGCCGAGTGAGAGTTCTGTCACAGCCAGTTCAGTCCCTAAAGCTGGATAAGCCTGCCAGCAGTGGCTCCAAATGGAGTGAAGAGCAGCAGTCCTTTTGTTGGGGCTGGGGGCCTGGCAGTGATGGCTAAGGGGGAGAGACTGACCCCACATCAGTTCCTCTCAGAGGGGCAAGGCTGTAGCTTGGGACAGGGTAGAAGAGTGCTCACACTGTTCCAGCTCTGTAAGAAAGCACCTTATTTTGTTGCTGATTCCTGAAAAGGACCAGGGCAATAGCATCATCTCACCAGGACCTGTGATTAAAAAGGCAATAGCATTGATCACTGGTGATCTGCGTGCAATCCAAAATAGATGAGATGGAGAGGAGAGACGTGTGCACCACCTGCAGAATTAGGTTTCTGTGGTCCAAAAACTTTGCTCGTGGAAGCTTGCTGGTCCCTTCAGTTTGCCTGATGTTGCTGCAATGACCTGACTTTGAGGCTTTGTGTTTTCTGATTTTAAGCATTAGTTTATATTGTCCAGAGGACTGCAATGCACTTCTGACCAGAGAGCATATCTGCTGGCCTTCCAGCATTGAAAATAATTTATGGTTTCTCCCCAGTTGTTTTGAAAGGAGAAATTAAATTGTATGAGGATGCCCCGTGTTAGGAGATTATTGGTGAAAGTAAATCTTCAAGACTGCAAACCAAACTTCAGTTCAGATAACCACACAAACCAGTATCTTGAGTTGCATTCCTGAAACTGGATATCTGACTAGGCTTTTTTTCATTTTTGTTTCCATATTACCTAAAATCAGTTCAGCCCAGAGCTAGGAGGTAAAGGAGGAATCCCTGAAAAAAAAAAAAAAAAAGGAAATAACATAAATAACATTTACGAATGTACATTTATAGGTATTTCAAGGGAAGGGTAAATTGTTATTCTGATTTACAGTACTTACTGTGTTGGAAAAGATTTAGCTTCTTGCTTAAAAAATGACCACACCATTTGCCTGACTGGTCCATTTTCTAATGATAAACTATTTATTTGTTTTAAAATAACAGACAAAGGCAACTTGGTGATAATGAATGCAGAAAAGCTAAGAACAGAAAATGATATGGGTTCTCTTATAGCACAGCTGATGGCCATCGTTTTTGCTGGAACTGTTCCTCATTACTTCTCAACAGTCATGTTATTTTGCCGGAGATTCTTGTCTTGTGCAGCTTTATAGTAACACAATGGTGCACAGGCAGAAGACGAAAAAATCTTGGAGGAAGAGGATGGTAATGTTTTCCCAGGTGAAAGTCAGTCTCCTCTGTCTCTGCATCCCTTGCTGTTCTCTCCAGGGCTTCCCACACAGGGATACACGCAGTATGCATCAGCATGCTGATGGAAATAAAACGGTGGGAAAGAGTGATCTGTTACTCAGCTGTGCCACTAATACAATTTATATGAAAGCTGCATAAAACGAACCTGAAATTTAAAATCTGTTCTAGGCCAGATTCTCCTTCCTTTTTTTCACACAGCGTGGAGCTGGCTTTTCTCTCACTCCCTCCACTAGCCTGCTCTTTTTTCTGATTATACCAAAGCCGCGATGTTGTCTCTGCCTTTGTGTCCCCACTTCACAAATCCCTGTCCCCTTTATTTTGGTTTT